AAAAAATAAAAAATATATATATATATATATATATATATATATATATATATAATTGAGTAGTAACACTGTACCATGGGAAAAAATACCATATGCAAGCTGATATTAGAAACTACAACAAATGTTTAGTAACTCTGATGTGAGCCTGTTTATGAATAATACAAGAACTGTGTTTCATACGGGGTATGAAGGTACCAGTTTATCATTTAACCAGTTTAATTTTATATATTTTTTAATGAAACAAACCTTTTCTATATCTTAAATGAAGCCAGTTTACAAAATACAGAAAAGATTGTAGTAATTATTGACAATGTCCATTTCCATATAAAAAAAGTAAAAGTAAAAGTAAAAACCCATAAATACAGTTCTCTAGAAGTTTCAACATAACATTAAAGTATACTAAGTGTACTTAACATAAAAAGGTGAGCATTCAGCATAAAAAAAAATAAAAAATTTAGAATATAAAGGCAAAATAGTGAATAGGTTTGTAAAAGCAATAAAAAATTATCCAGAAAGGTATATTCAAAACTAGAAACCTTTATGATCACTTAATAGGGAATACTGAAATAATTTAATCTGACTTAAGAACAGTTATACACTTTAAAGACAGAAATAATCAAAATAAGTGATCTTTAACATCATAGGATCCACATAAAATGACCTTGATAATAATAAAAAGAAAATTAAGAAGGAAGTAATAATTTTCCTATACTGAAAATGTATTTCCGATAGATACTTCCCTCCACTTGCAGGAGTACCTATTTTTTGTTGAGTGCTGCCCTCCATATGCAATTTTTTTCTTTATGTGCCACACGCCTTCTGCCCCCCTATTGGAATCAAATGATTCCAACGTGTCTTTCATGTAAATAATCATGCGTCACTTCTCCACCAAAAGGAGCGTGACATATGTGACGCATGTGCCTCCCTCTATAAACCTCTACCGAACTATCCCTTCAAGGTTTGGCAGAAAACATAAGCATCGGAGGAAAGTGGGGTGTGTGAGCAGAAAGAGAAGTAACTATCAGAAATACATTTTCAGTATAAGGAAATTATAACTTCCAACATGGTACTTCCCTCCATGTGTCAGATCTAAAGATCTGATGAGGGGAACCGCACCACTTCTGAAACAGGTATACTCTTCTCCTATCTATGAAATGTGTAGTAGATAAGGGTGGAAAAAGAGAGAGGGGCACATCCATGTGGGAGAGAACTGTGGCAGAACAGTGATCCTAACCATGAAAATATATATGTAACTCAATCCTACAAAGTATAAAAGTGGGTAAAACAATAGATGTGCCCCTAGGTGTAGAGTGGCTAGGGTGCGACGGACCATACTCGGTAAGTCAATTACATCCAGAACCCATGCCACTGGGAATCGACATCCATGGGAGGGTAAGATGATGATCATAACATCTTCAAGAGACTAGGGGGAATCTAGAACCACTCTGACTCCTGAGCATGATACATGTTAGCTTTGATCTATAGATATAATGAGTAAATGAAGCAAGGGCCCCTGAAAGGAAAAGTATGCATATAAACTCACAAAGTTGCACTGAAGCCTAAAGAATGGCTACAGGTGGAAGACAAAAACCTGACAAAGAAGAAAGTGCAATATGGTTTGAATAATGGGAGATGAATGTATTAGGTGTAGTCCACATGCCCAACTGTAAGATTTCTTCCAATGGCAAATGAAGACAAGATGCAAGGGACAAGGTAAGGTGTCGAATCTGATGAGAAGACACCTCGAACAAATTCCAGGAGGAAGAAGACAAGGAGGAAGAAGCCAATCAAATCAAAAGTCAACCTCAATTGGTAAAGGTAGAAGTAGAAACAACCCCAAGAGAGGAAGACTGCCAAGGAAGCCGTGCAGGCAATATAACAAAAAAGAGTACAGTCCAGACATAGAAGTCTATCCAGATAGGAACAAGGGAAGAGATGAGAAATAGAAGGAAGGGAAATAGGTGAAAAGGAGAAGATAGGTAGGATGGTAAAGTGTACGTGAAATGTCAACAGCAAACAAATCAGACTTTCGACATCCACAAACTAAAAGGAGAAGGAAATACGTTTTAAGGAAAGATGAAGCATGGAACACGAGGAAAGTGACTCAAACACGGATAAAGTGAGGGAATGGAGGAGCATATTGATATTCTAGTCTGGAAAAGTAGTCCATCTGGGGGAGATGGTGAATCCAGAAGGAACTCATTAACACGGTAAGGACAGGGAAAGCAAAACTCGATGGTATTTGAAAAAACTAAAGGTATTAGATAAGGCAACCTTATAATCCAAAATCGAAAAGACTGAAGACCCCTTGTCAAAAAGCCATGTGAGAAACTCCGCCACTCAAGCCATAGTAGGTTGGTCAGCGGGAAATCCCCAAGTCACAGATCAACTGCAGAACACTTTCCATTTGCACTGACACAACTACACTGAAGAAGGATGTCTGGAACGAGCTAAAAGGAAAGCTACTCGATGGGAGAAACCTGATCTCCTCGCCAAGGACTGTATAAAAACCAGGCATGAAGACGAAGGACGTGAATGGCTGGATGTAGAACAGGTGAACAGGGTTGACAAAGGAAGAGGTACTGGAGGGAAAAGTTGTAGTTGTTGTAATCATGGAAACCAAACCACCAAATATGGATGGGAAGATTGGTCATGTAGTAAGGAAGGGCGAGGTTCATAGGAAGTAGGGGAAATGGATAAAACATAACCTACCTGAGAAATTAAATCCAAATAGACCATATTAGGCCTAACTGACTCCTCATGGGAGACAGGGGAAGGCATGACAAAATCAGGAGGTGGAAATAGGCTATCCAAGTCCTTGTCTCCCTGAACAGGCTCAGCTTGTTCGGGAGGATATGGGGCAGGGTCTGGAGACAGAGGTTGACCCATGTAACTTTCAATCTCCCGAAGAATAAACATGGATAAATTCCCCACTGGGTCAACCGCACCTGAGGCTTGAGACATAGCGCTAGTTGCATGTGTGACCCCCAAAGTGGTAACATGAACTTCATAATGAGGAAGAGTCAGTCAATAATCTAAAGTATAAATGACAATGTGAGCGGAGGGAAGTACCATGTCAGAATTTTACACTGGTTTGTAAAAGGAATGTTACAGGTGTTGCACATAGATGTAAATAACTTAGTGAACAATTAAACTCACAAAATAGCCAAAAAAAATAATCCACATAGAAATAAGATAGCACTGAGCTTCTGTACTTTTACACAAGTGAAGAAAGCACAAACTACAAGATTTCTTTTTTTTTATTACTCAGAGAGATTAGATTTCAGAGAACACTGAGTCAAATATCATGGTTTAAGGTACAGAGAAAACACAATTCAAAGTTGTTGTTAAATATTTTTTCTCATTTTTCTTATCTGCTTTATAATTAAGCACAGTTTTAATGAGTAAGAGTTTCATGCTGCTGACAAAAATGAACAGAATGGTTAAAATGCTGAACAGTGAGGTATTTTTGAACTTAGTTACTGAAACCTTCTACATGGTTTGTGTAGGTTCACTCAACATACTGATGGTTACAAACCTACACTTCACACAATAAATGATGATGTATTTTGTGCAAATAACCCCCTTAATAGTTTTACAGTATTTGTTACAGTGTTTGTTAAAGTGTCAATAGCTTCCATGAACTTGCATTTCACTCAAAAAATGAGCCAGGATATTCAATGTTTGTTCTTGGTGTGGTAGATTTAAAGGGGCCTTTTTCAGTGTTTGATAGATATTTGTTGATATTAGTTCATACAAGATGATCACGATACAAGGAAGTGGCATAGTGAAAGACATTAATGATAAGGCTCTTCACGGACAGCCAATTTTTAGACAGTTAACAAGTGTTTTATCCAAGTAACACATTTTTTTCAGTGGCATATGTGTATTAAGATGATGTTTCAAAATTGTGTTTGAAATCAAATTTCTTTCATTCTAATTTCACTAAATAAGCACTCACGAACTCTCGGTAAACTTTGAAAGAGCTTGAGGTTTCTTTTGCTGAACTGTTCGCTGTCTTAACCAACGTTCTATTTTTCTTTCAGTCCATTCCAGCTGCTTTGCAAGTCCTTGGATCTATGAACAATAGATAAATTCAGCTAAATTGTATATCTCAATTATTTTGATAGAATTATAATGTAGGGAGAAACAAACCATTTTTGTTAATTTTCAGTGAAAAGTTAGTTTTTCTCCCTCCATTTTCTAATCAAACCACAAAAATGTTCTGCATGCAGGTACCTCTAGGGCTTTCTGACAAAGCTGTATAATATCAATAAAATAGCTACTACACATTAATACATTCTTATAATGATCAAAGTATGAACGAGACTTGAACCAAATTCATATTACACTTATTTACTTGAACTTTCATGCCTACATAAATTATTCAAGCAAGCAGCTATACAAAAGACTATTACTAAAAACAATGCATAATTAGTTGGTTCCAATAATATAATAACAGTTTATGTCTATCACATTTCATGGTGGCATACTGCCAAGCAGAAAATTTTCTTTGTAAAGTACTACGAGATATTAAGTAACATACCTCTTATTCTTATCACAACTCTAAAAGAAGAAATTACTGCCACAATAAAAATTATTTAGTGAAATTAAGGTTCTTCTTAATACGAAAATACTATTAAAATCTTTCAAGACATTTTGTTTCTACTGGGTGACTAAGTTCAAGACTTTTCTCTTAAAAACCTGATTATTTTTACAGAGAAAAAATCAAAAAAGTTCTGCACGCAGGTACCTCTAGGTCTTTCTGACAAAGCTGTCTAAACATTTTCTTGCATAAACACAGCTTTACCACCTTTCAGTATTTAAATGAATTTAACCAAACTTTTAGTTTGTATGAAAATAAACTTCATCTGTATTGTGCAAAAATATATATTTCCTATTTAACATTTCTTTTCTAGTCTTCTCATAATTCTACCAATCTCTTTCCATTCTTGAAATGTATAAAGCCATTAAGTTTGTTTCATTTTAACAACGTTTAGGATCTTTAAATGGAAATAAATATAAAACTTTAACAAAAGGCCAGGTGAGAAAAAACCATTTGACTCATCATGTTATTATTTTAATTTCCAATCCAACATGAATACAACCGTTCACATTCACATACCTATCAGATTTTAAAAAGAAAACATTCCGATTTGTTTTGCAATAAAAACATGGAAAATAAAAGAAAAAAACAGCTTATTATGACATCCCCCTTGTATCAGATATTTCAGGAATGATAGTTAGTGTGAACTACTATTTATGTGTAAACTTGTATTCACAGTTAAAATTATTAAGAACTTTTCAGTGAAAGTAAAAACAGTGTGTAACATATTAGATGCATCTGCTAACCCAGTGCAGAAAAGGCCTTCTGGCCAATACCAGGCATCTTTAGGCTGGCTAGGATATAACAGACATATAATGGTTGAGATGCTATTTATATTAGCAATAGCTCGACTAAAGCTTTTATGGTGTGAAATGGATTAAGTTGGTGAAGCATAATTTTTATTTATGTCATAACATATCATAATTATTTAAAGATTTGTTTAACACTATTTATTTATTTTAACACCATATGTTATTAATTATTATTTTCATGAATTAACCTGCTCATTATTCAGAAGAACTGATGAACCAGCAAGCTATTCTTATTAATTGTACAGCTCAACGTACTTATAAACATTATGAAATAGGAATTAAAAATGCATATACAATAAAAGATTCTTAACTTTCTAATATAACCAGCTACAAACATTGCTTCTTCCTTTATATCAGCCCATGATTTTACTCCCCACATATTAGCATCTGTTAATACAAGCCCTCCACAGTAACCAGTAAGATATCATTCTTTCTGGTATCATTGTGTGTGTATATGTGTGTGTGCGAGTGAAGCATCACATTGAAACATTTCTATCTTATTAATTCTTCTCTCAGTGTTTGAAAACCCAAGCAAAATGTTTTGTTTTTTTAAATATGCATGTTGAAAGGTACATGTATGTTACACTTATAAAACAAAAATAAGTTACACTTACTGACAGAACACGGCAGTAAAATTATTATATCCAAATGTATTTAATCTTTCTTGTTCTGAGTCTATAATTAAAACTTTAAATTATTAACTTGAAATATCCAGGATCAGGAAGCAGCTTACATGAAATTAGGAGTCCAGTTGTCAAAACATTGATCTTAGTCTGCTAATCATTATAATGGCTTACATTTTCTCTCCACTTATCTACTTACATCACAACTTGTCATACTGAGTCACCAACAATCACACAAGAAATATTACATCTTCTAACAACATAGAACGTGAACCACCAGGCCAAGTAAGTGCATAGCTAATTTAAATTCCATCAACTCAACCCAGATGAGCTTCAGAAAAGGCAGAACTATTACTTTTTACCTAGACATCACTGTAATAAATCAGGCTGAACATTATCATTTCAACTATCAAGGCTTAAGCCTTGAAAATCTCTATCCATTCTGACTGTCACCTTCTTGCATGATAGGACACAGACACTAATAAATATAATGTGCCTTTGTGTATTTCTCGTATGAGACATAGAAATCTAAACTTGTTACAAAATGTCTGTAAACTATAGTGATACAATGCATGTAGCGAAGATAAATTTAGCTTGAGACAGTCTATGACAGATTCAGCTAAAGTTCTACCAAATATTGCATGAAAAATAAGTAAAAAAAAAAAAAAAAAGGTGAGTTAACTTACAATGCATTACTCTGGCAAATTGTGACACCTAGAATTACAAAACCTAGGAATTTTTTTGCATTTAAATTTAGTTTGCGGGCACAAGATTTATTGAAAATAATACATTAAAAAGTTGATACTATAAGCCGAGATATTTGGAATATTTTCAGATTACATACTTGGTAGTCAAGATATCAGCCAAGCTTGATATGATCAAGCTCAATGTCACAAAAGTAAATATGGTTATAGCCATAATGAAAAACAAAGTCTAAAGAAAAATATCTTTTTATTAGAAGGTTCTAAAAATTAATTTTTCTTATAAATTATCGTATGAAATAAACAAAAATGTAATTAAGTTCTATATATCTGCATACTGAAAATGGCAATTTTATAAAAAACTTCATGATACAAAGAGCATAATGTAATATGTATGAAGACTTTAGAAAAAAAAAGGTATATCTCAAATATTAAAGCTTATGTTTTTAAGATATGAAAATCAATAATTCATTTAAAGTCCAAATAGTATTGAAATTTCTTTCAAAAAAGACATTTCAAATGGGTGAATGAAATTTTGCTGATATCAAAGAATATGCCAACTCTGCCAGTTTGATCATGTTTTTTTAAATATTTTTTTATATATTACAAACATACTTTAATCTATTCTACCATGTATTATATCAGTGATTGCTCAAATTTGTACAACCAAAGATATTTTGACTAATATCAAATGTATTTTGATATGTTTATACAATATAATTTAATATTTTATGTATTTCAAAAATGTTAATTTAATTGCTATAAATTGTTATGTTTAAAATTATTAATATTAAATTCTTAGTATTTTTCTGTAAATATTGTTTGACTGAATTATCAATTTTTCTGCATAAGAATTTTACAACGTCAATCTTCTACAAAAGTGTTAAAAGACAAATGTACAAGTAATTTTTCCAAAGAAACATGGTTATGTTTTAGAAATATCGTATTCCTCCCTTTAAGCATCCTTGCCACTGTAAGTACCCCATGTACGATTTTCAAAATAAAAATATATAAGATCTCTCTTTATCATTACTCATACTCATGATTTTGAAAAAAAAAAACCTAAATTACCCATGTTTTCTCTCTTTTAGTGCTACATTAATATTATTATGGTTTGGATTTAAAGTTATCAGGTGAATTTTGACTCAATACTACATAACTACCTGTTCCTATTATCCCTTACCCACTTCTGACACAACACATAAATCTGCACTTTTATCACTTAATCAAGCATGTAAACTAAAAACCACATTTAGTGGGTGATAGCAGCAACTATTTAGGAAAACTTAAATGTAAGAATTATGATATTTGATTGAACTAACTATACTGTATGAGAATGATTAGTTTGATTTCACAGCTAATTTAAATGATTACTTCATATTTCACCCAACTGAGGCTTCAAGTATTCTTATACAACAACATTTAAAACTGTTGTGAGGATTATTTCGTATAAATGAGGGGATTTACAATTAATAAAAATACTTCTACAATAACATCAAATTGAATAATCACATATTTTCTTATTCAGTATTCCTTTAAGTTAAAATTCTTGACAATATTCATACGTTGAACTTTGTTCAAATTAGTACAAAACTCAATCAAGAACTAATTTTGTTTTAAAGTATGTGAAGATTATGTGATAACATGTTCTAAATGCACATACATATCACTAAAACTTCCAGCTAGCCATATAAAAAATGATTCAAGAATATCCTCAGATGGGAAACTTTAAAAAAATACAAAGAATTTAAGTTGAAACTTAAAAATCATTTTAAATAAGTTTTAATATTAATATACTTTAAGTTTCAAGTTAGGTGAAATACTGCACCAGTCTTGAAGAACAATTAAGAAACACAAGTTCATTCTTTCAACGTGAGTAATACAAGTTTTAGTATATATTTAAACATAATTCATTTTAAAGTAATATGGCACTAATGTTGTAAAGAATTTGTACAGCACTGAATTTCCTAGAAGACTATAATGGTTGTGTATTATAACAACTTTCTTTGCCGAGCTACATTCCTGCTACCGTCTCATTCTGACCTTGAAGGATTATAAATAGCAACAACTTGACAATGTGATCTGATTGGACTGATCTGTGTGAAGCTTTTAGCTCCATTCAACCAAGTCCACTTTCGTAACAAATCCAAATGTGATATGGTCTATACAGACATGAAGCCATGAGAAAAAATAAAGAGGTATTTCAATCACATTCCATCTATTTCAGTAAAATCATATGAATTATTTAGTCATATATCTTATATTGATAACAAATGTGAGTCATCCCAGCAATATAACAAAGAAAATCTACCAATTGTTTTAAAAAAAATTATCCTTTTTCTTTTAAATTCTTATTAGATTGTAAAAAGAAAAGATAAAAATGTTAAGTTATATATTCACCTTTATATGAAACCTTTGAATTATAGTTTTATATTTTAGGGAACTTTTCCAAAACTCGCAACTTGAAATGGTAAGTAAAGTGGTAATTAATGGATCCCCCCCCCCTCCCACCTTTTTTTCTTTTGCTTTAAGGGTTTTGGAAATATACTGTACTTACAAGAAGTAAATTTTAATAGTAGTTAAAGAAATTGAGTAGGTACCACTAGTTTTCCAATATACATGTATATATATATTTTTTTTTTTATAACATAAAATGATTAAAACCAAGAACAAAAGTCCTAGGATTTTCCTTCCAAAAACCCCACTAAAAGACTGTCCCTGGGTATTTGAAGCTGTGCACCATTTAATATTTTCAGAGAAAAATGTATCAAGAAATAAAAGAAATAACCATATCATTTTATTTTATCAACTATACTATGTAATCACAATTTCTAATAACTTTAACAAATGATTTCCTGGATCTCTTGCTGTTTGTTTCCATATATATATTCTTCACTGATAGTTCATTTTTAATTCATTGATACTAATTATTTAGAAAATTACAAGACTATGAATTTCCTTCCCTAAGTTCTTTCTTTTCCAGCATCTGTACTGAAGCGTATTCACCAACAGAAAAAACTATACCATGCATTTATCGAAACTAAAGAATTGAAAATGAAAAAACAACGACTAAGTTGCTCAATCTTGTTTTATTTATTTATATATTTTATTTTAATCATTACTGCTGTCTGTAAACAATTTAAAATAATGTACTTATGTAGCATAATAATGGCTGAAAAACACTTTTTTTTTTTTTTATTAGAATCATAAGGTAGATACCAGTAATAAATAATTTCTTATTAAAAATTCTTTATTGGCCCCAAATACTGGGTTTCTGGTAAGAAGAGCATATTAACATTCCTGTAAACATGTTGTACACATCCTGTAGAGCCAATAAAGAAAGATTGTTAAAAACTATTAACAGTCTTTTGTCACAAGCTTATTAATATATCATCTTCACTGGGATGAGATATTATATACGATAATAATTAATAAATACCAGTAACTTATGCATGAAAATACACAATATTTGTTACTTCTTTCACACCCATAAACAAACATATCAGTCCCTCAACACCTATTTTCTAAAATGGGATTACAAAATATTTTGAAATTTTAAGGTCTTGTCTTTTCATGCATGAGACAAAATAAAATACCTGCTTATATGAGATTCTGCCATTTGCTTGGAAAGCTTTTTCCAAAACAAGATTGTCTGCAGCTTTCTTAGGATGTGTTGCTTTTAAACCAAGGCAGATTCCAAGTGGAGTGAAAATAAACCTATCAGCAGAAGAAATACACAAGTGAAATAAACTCATCTACAATTTCTGTACCCAATCCCCAAGCTGTTTACAAGTTTACCACTCCTGTAAATAAGCAAGTGAAATATGAAAAAACAAAATTAATATTCAAACTTGTTTTCCAACACTTCAATAAAATATCAAATATTAAGTACTGTAACAAAAACTTCCATCTGGATTTTTTATGTTATTTATTCATAATAAAAGGAGAAAAGAATATTAAAAAAAAAACAGGAATCAATAATTTGCCATATCCATTGTATTTTTTTACATTTCACTTAAAACAAAATTCTGTATTAAAATATTTTTTAAATTACATAACCAGGTTTTATAAAACCTTAAATGGCTGACCACATAATCTAAGAATACATTATACATCTAAAAGAATATCCTACTTTCTCACTTAAAAACAATAGAAATAAGAGCTTAGCATACTCTCACATCACTAAATGATTTCAAAATATATGCAGATTATTACATTATTTTGAATATATCATAAAGATTGAACTTGTATTAGGCTCTCTTGTGCATGGTAATGAAGTTTAATATTTGTACACGGCACATGTGCACAGTACGTTCTCAGAATTACATCACAATAATCATATCTTTCTGGTCAAAAAACAAAATGCATGATACTACTCAATGGCCCTTGAACCTTTTGAAGAAATTCATCTTCCCCTAAAATAAACTAAAATACAATTTGACCACACCCACCTAATGATATAGATCAGCATTCTTACAGTTATGGATGCTACTTCAAATACTCAGATGAATTTTTCAAAAGATACATTTACTGAAATCAAAAACGTTTGTCTCTTTGGTACCTTAGCATTCAAGTCAGACTATAAATGTGTCCATGGTAAATTGACAAACAAGAATATCTTCAGAAGTATGATTAATAAGGTTTGTAAGTAATAATAAGAATTGCAAAAAATTGGAATAGGATTTTTTTTTTTTTCAACTGATAAGATATCTAGTATGCCCCTCAGGGGTTTGTTATGCGATATTTATTTTAACATTTACGTATTAAGGTTGGTTAGGACCTAGGATTTGAAAATTTGGAAAGTACCTACTTGAAGTTACTTCTTGTGTTAGAAGAGCATTAGTATTACAAGGGAAGGGAAACAGGTTTTAGGCATGATTGTGAAAAAATCCCTAAATCCATGTATTGAATAATTAGCTGTAGTGAAAAAGCAAACATATTTCTTGATGGTGTTTAATTTCAATGTTGAAACGAGTGCAAACATGGGCTATTAGAAAGTAGAATGACATCTGATTTAAATAATTTAAGCTATAAGGCGTTATTGATTTATGTGTGTGTGTGTATACATATATTTAAAAGAGCCTTACTATGGATGATCCAGCTGTATAACTAGTAGAATGACAAAAAGACTGAAAGGACAAACATTAATATTAAGGGTACACATTTAACTTTAAAAGGCAATTCATAACTATAGACATGAGGAAAGTTGGAAGTAACCCTTACTGTAGAAATCTTCTCTATACTCATGATGTGTGGATAATTGACATTGAGGAAGATTGTATATCAGGAACTGACTTCATGTAGAGACACAGATGCAAGATTAGGCTAGCTTTAAACAGCTCACAGTCTATGACTACGAAATCCCTATACACTACATGACCAAAGGTTGAACTTTTTCAGACAATAAGGAGAGCAGTCATTGTACTATTAAGAAGTTAAATACTCATACCAATGACTGGATGTAGCAGTCCAGCATGTCCTAAAGGATTAATGGTTGGAAGAGCCCTCATGAATCTATAGAATGAATACGTCATAATTAGGGCCACAAACACAACAAACCATAAAATTCCAATCAAGTCTGGATGGGACATTGCAAGTAGCACTACCACATCAAACAACATCAGAAGTAGTCACATTTTAGCCAAGTTGCAATAAGTGTGTTGTCAAATCCTCATATACGGGCAGTTTACCTCATCACTTACAAGAGCTTAATGAGCAAAGCTGTCACACACCTGATCAGTGACATAGATTACATGACCTGCTCATGGAATAAAGACACTTTCTCCAGTTGACCTCATGACTTAGGCTAAACAAATAAAATATCTCAAAAGAGCAATATTGAAGATACAACCAAAGTATGTCAATTAGCCAAACTACTCCCACTTGCCAAACAGCTGAGATTTCAAAGAGACAGATACCATGAAGGAACAAAGAATAACAGAACTGAGTAATGGTCCATGGGCATCGTGTATTATACTTATGAAAACAAAATATAAATACACAAGATTCTACCTGAACTACAGAAAGGTGAGTGAAGTTATAAAGAAGGGTTCCCACCCACTGAAAAACACTGACTACTTTCGATGCTCTATCTTGATCAAAAGTATTTTCAATGTTGGACCTAAAGAGTGGATACTCACAAGTAGAAGTTGATGAAGCAAGTAGAGAGAATAAAGCCTTTACTGCAGAAAATGGATTGTGGCAGTTGAATTATGTAATGCACCTGCTACATTTCAATGACTAATGAAATGTACTATCTCTGAACTACTCTGGACAGTCATACTCATCTATCTGATAAATAAATTCACACGGGTAAACCTTTGATAATGTTTATTATGGACTAAAGAAAGTTCTGGATTGGAAAGAGAAACTTAAGCAGAATCCCAAGAAGTGTAAATTGTTCCATTAACAGGTGAGCTTCCTGGGACACATAGTCAGCATATTGACTCTATCCAAAATTGGCCAACACCAAAGAAACTGCATGAGGTAAGAAGATCTCTTGGACTGTACTCTTACTATTGTTGTTTTATAAAATCATTCTTTGACATAGCTTGTACTCTACACAGATTACTTGAAAAGCCAAATAAGTTTCATTGGACCACTTATTGTAAAGAAGCATTCAATAATCTGAAAAAACAATTAACCACTACTACTGTAATAACATACCCAACTGTTGTACATTATCACATTACTTTGATAAGATAATCCAAAAGCGCACACCAAATGAAAAAACAATTACAACAATAGCATTATACATGTATTCTAACTAATTAAATGAGCTATTTCTGAAAAAAAACTACAGTCCAAATATAAGTTCAAGTTAAAATTCACGTCTTCCCATTAGGTTTACAACTTTAGCCCTTTGGAACCATTAACACCAAAAGTAGTAACTATCAGTATACTGTTTTATTCACTTGTAATTTTGTGTTCTATTATGTTTCGTGCACCTTAATGTTGAATTAGAGATTAAGTTTTTAAATTTACAATACAACAAAGACTTTAAGTTGAAAGAGTATAGTGCAGTACCATGTGAACTAACTGTATCACCAAGAATTTGAAGAAATCAAATAGTATGATGATGAGTATCACTAAATATCAGTATCTGGGGGCCAACTACTTTCGTTTACGTATTTTTATTATTTATACTGTATTTATATTTGGATCTCTTGAAAAGCTGTTCATTGCAAAATTCAACAAAAAAGAAAAAAAGGCCCAGAAATCGCAACGTCCGTGTTAAAACTTACTTTTGGTCTCTTTCTAGATCGGTTGGTAATTTACTCAGACTGGGATTCTCAATCTCATCGAGACTAAGGAAAAGAGTGTAACATGTATATTTTAGTTAGGTTAGCTTACCTCTCAACGCAGAATCGTACAAAGAGAAGTACAATAGCAACAGGAAAAGCGTAATACAAGTCGTTAAACTGTGCGTAACTTGCTCTTTCTTGTTTCCTTATTATGTCCCAATTCAATTTGTCTGGAAGCCATATTGTTTCATTCCAAAATATGTTTTTGAGATGCCATATAGCCGCCATTTCCAAATATACACATATACGTGGTCAAGCGCTTTAACCGGAAATGCTTATGAATTCCTCAATACAAACTCGGTAATATTCCTCTCTCGACAAACGCATGCGTTTAACCACATATAGCTATAACAGCGTGTTTAGCTGTCACTATCAGCGACGAACAATACACAACTCGAACAACACATGCGACCCTGCTGTGGGGTTCTATAATCTTCTCTTACGCGTTATATAAGGCGTCTTATCTTATTCACGAACCAGGTCTAGACATGATAACAATGAGAGATAAACAAATATATGTTGACAACTTTTCGTAAGTTAACAGTTGCGAGGAGTTTGCAAAATTTTATAAGCCAGTGTTAATGATAAATATACCAGCATCTTCACTAAGTCCTCCGGTGAGACAGCGGTAAGTCTACAGACTTACAATGCTAAAATCCGGCGTTTGATTCTACGGGGTGGACACAGAGGATAGTCCATTATGGTTTTACTCAAAAAACTAACAAAGTCTTTAATAAAATATCTATATTCAAAACAGGACTATCACCGAAAAACAACATGTTCAGTCTTCGAACTTTTCGGATTTTACACGTTCCATCATCAGCCATCTAAAATGTTTTTACAGAACATACATACATACATATTTATATGAAACAACAAACAGTACAAATACTCTTTGAAAACATATTTTAGGTGACTTATTTAAATATTTATTCTTAAACTAATAACAATTGACTGCATATTTTAACCAGTAGCTTTTTGTAATCTTAAAAAAAAAGAAGAAGAAAAAAGCCGATTATGAGATAAATCTATTATTATGCGTTTTATGCCTTTTATAGTGATACAGACTTTTTAAATTTTCGATTATTTAGTTTCTGCATTGTCATGGTGGCTACACGTGGCCCAGAAAGTTATTAACTTTGCTTTGCCTTAGAACTTCGTTTCTTTGTTTTCTAGCAATTAACTTCTCCCCTACTCACAAGGATATTTCAATATAACATGTAGACACTGAATTGAACGGGTTAGCACTGATCAAGACCAATGCTCTCAGGAAACATAAGTCACGAGGTAGAGCCATCCACTAGATAAAGAAAGCGAGTTTATATTCTAGATTCAAGAGTACTTTCTTTCTTTAGTTTTACTTGTTTTTTTTATCATTACCACTTCAGCAAAGATTCATCTTGGGTACGAAAAGCTGGAGAGCTATTCACTTATCCAGTAGAGGCAATTGTATATGGCTGTCCAGGTAAATACAGACACACACACACAAATTGGCTGGGAATATGAAAAGGGAATGCTTTGGCTAACACCACAGGTAACAGCTTGGAATGGCTTGACTGATGTATAGGCAGTCTAATGCTTGATCCTGAGCTTATACAGTCCAGCCCTATATACCGTAGAGCATGTAGACAAGATATCAACAAAACAATCATGACAAAGTTGTAGCTCCAGTTTGACCCATTGGGGAATATAGTGATCCATTAAACAGAATTACAGGCTTGAAGGAGAAGCATCACCATGAGGCTTGCCACTTATGCAGTCAATCTGTGCCATCTGCATGATAAAGCTTACCCTGTAATGGTTTTAGAAAATCATACAAAAACTCATCAAAGAGTTTTATGGTTAAATCACAAAGCATCACCTTTCTAAATTCATTAGATTTGGAAGCTACAAGAACCTCTACGATTATGAGACGTTATAATCTAATGTAAGGAAAACAGGTATGTTTGGCGTGTTTTGGGAGAAAAAATATGTAAAAGACAAGGCAATCAGAAAGAAAAAAATTGGGAGATGTGAGAGAAAGAGAGAGAGGAAAATATTCTGTCAGTGAAAACCAAAACTAGTTCTAATTATAATTTTCTAATGTGTTATAAATATAGTAATAAACAGAAATTTGTTATATTTAAACTTGGTATGGGCCAATTTCTGGTAGAAACAAGTAAAATGTTTATAAAGTTGAAGGGAAAGTGGTGTGCGAGTATACCACAATTGTAACAAAGTCGGCCCATAAGAAAATGATGTCAGAAGTGGTCTACAATAAAATGGCGTAATGAGAAGACCAACACAACCAGTACTTTTTCTACAGTGAAGGAGTAGACTCTGGGAGCCAGTCTGACATTCACTGTGGCTGAGCACATGAATGAAGATGCATTGCTGGCTAATGCATAAAACATGGTAGACCTTGTCACACCTGCCACTTGGTTGGGCCCGAAGTTCCCAGGAGCTGAGCATTCCCCATAAACAGCAGTACAACTACCAGAAATTATGTCTCCACTAAATGTACTGGTCACCAAGAGAGTCCTTGTGACAACAACCTCCATGTGGTTCAGCAGCTGTTAACACTACCTCCCATGATGTGAAAACATGAGAAACTCTCTGTATATGAATCCTCATGAGGGTCAACCAAGGTTGGGCAGAACGAGTCATTGTATGATTGAAGCAACAGTCAAAGTTTTAAACATCTAGTCTGATGTATTCACCACAGTGACAATGCAAATGAGCCAGCCAGCTTATGAATCACTAGCACCATACCATAGTGAGAGTATATGGTAAATGAGAGGGCACTGATGCCAGTAGCAAGAGTAGTCAACATTAGGACTAAGGTACTACCATTGAAAATACAGCACAAACAAACTCAGAGAGAGAGAGACAAGTGTGAAGTTCCCAACAAGACCAACTAAGACATTGACCATCTACTTCATGCCAGAACATACCTAAGCATACAATAGACATTGCCAGGGGATAGCTGTCAACTGGAATGAGACTTAAGTTCTACAACAGAGAGGATGATTAGCAGTAGAGAGCAACTCCTCTGTTGTGGTTGAGGAAGATATGTGCCACTTGCAGGGTAAGCTGACTGACATTAAAAGTGCCCTAGTTAAAAACTACAGATGACATAAAAGAAACATAGTACCCAAAAATAAAATAATGACATCACTAGAGAAGCTGCTGCAGGGTTAAGATAAAAGGGAGCAGAACCTTGTGCCAACTCTGGGTGAGTGTAAATTTCATATACTTCTATTTAATTTTAAAAGTATTATAAATAACAAATTCAACCTAATATAATTATTTCTTTGGATGAAGTCAGTTAGTTTGGTTAAAATCGGATTTATTTAATAACTTATCTTGAAGATCTTCCTGTTATAAAGAGGACCTACCTAATATTCGTTAAGGAAATTAAGTTTAACTTGAGAATATCACAATAGAATACAAAATGGGACAGTTTCTTTAAGATGGTTTTGAACAATACAACAATAAATACATGTAGAAAATACTGTGTAAATACTTTTTGATGAAATACTAATTTCTATTGTCGATGGCAATCTGATGTTTTGACATTTTGGATTTCATCTTAATTGGTACATGTTTGACATGCTCAGTTTGTTTGGATTCTGCTTCTCGTATTCAGAAAGATTAGATAAAGAAATGTAGCTGTTATAATAATACTTATTTTGAAAGGAGAATACTTTTTATACCATGGGTATTGTTTCTGACTATTGCAAAAATATATAATAAGATTAGAGTACTTCAAACATAAACTTTTCGTGTATTCAGCTGCTTTCTTTGACAGCTATTTCGTACTTCAAAACTTAAATGAGCCAGAACTGACTAAATCCCTTACTGAGGTGTGTAATATTGATGACACATCAGATAGTAACTTAGTGAGATCGAATTAAGAAGTTAAGTACATATTAAATAGTGGTGCTCTCTTGCATAGAATACCAAGGCAAATAATGAAAATTATTTATATATTTTGTTTCTGTACTCAAATTATGTTGCAAATAAGTAACCTGGTGCAACGATCCTCTTCGATGGTTATATCAGCAGTGCCTCTATCAAAAACATGACCCATGTAAGAAATTGCATGATTGGATATAAAGTGTTCTTCACACTAGACATCCAGCAAAAATGAAGAAAGTTTCTAGCCAACAAATCGTGATTTCTGAATGCAGTGTCCGTCCACTTTCAGAAAACAAAACTATTTTACTGTTTTACAAGATTTAGGCGATACCAACGTGATCATAATAAAACTGCTGTGAAGT